GTTTAATGAAAAAAATCAAGTTAAAAAGCTGTTTCCCCGAAATGTCGAGATTACCATGCATTAGTCCAAAATGTTACTGTACTTACTCCTAATCTCTCTCAGCTCTGTCTGCTTGCGCGTTTCAAATTCAAAACGTGACCGTTTTGTCAAAGCCCGAAAACGCCTTTGCTCCAGCGCATCACGCTGTCACACGATTAAATGAATTTTCTCCCCTCCCACCCACGCCCCCCCCCCCCCACGTCCTGCCCCCCCCCTCTGTTTTTGAGGTGGGGGGGGGAGTGCTTGGAGGCTTCGCCAGATCGTATTTAACTCCTTCCACGCCGGGTCAACGGGGTCGAACGCCTTCCTGGGCCGCACAGTCATTGCGCCGATGCAATTTGGCTCACCGTTTCATCGCCGCCGCTCCTAATGCGGCGTTTAAACGTCGCGGGCACGTCGGCGCTTCCGCCCGCCGGGTGTGGGAACGGCGATGACGGCGGCGGCGGCGGCGGAGAGAGACCTTAGTGGCGAAGCGGTCTGCCGGAATCGCGTGCCAGACACGTCGCTCTCAATTCAGAGCCTCCCGTCCAACAGATTCACATCGACGCATCTCGCACGAGGGTCTGGACTTTTTTTTTGTCGCTGTTTTCATCAAATGAGTAAGCGTCCCTTGCCACCTTGGTTGCTTACAAGAGTGATGGCTGCAGGCTGGCCCAAAGCTGTTAGTTGCCATGACGTGTCTTGTTTCCTTTGTAAGTGAGAGCCAGTGACATCGGAAGAGGCCGGGGGGGCCTGGCCCTTTTCAGTGTCAAAGTCACCTGTCTAATGAGCGCGTCCGGTGATTTCACCACCTCGCCTCGCTATTTTCCCCAAAATTAATCACATTTACACGAACACACAGAGTCACGGAGTCACCGTGTCGTCTCCCGGCTCCAGCGGTTACGTGGGTGCAGCCGTGGGCCCTTGCTGAGTGAGCGGCAGTCTCTCCGCAGGACAAACTCATATGGTCGTCTCACAGGACGGTGCTCATCATAGCACGGACATATGTCTGACCCGCCCATGCTGGACATCTGAAGCTCATCGGATTCCTCCAGTCGAAATAAAGATTGTGATGAATAAAAATTACATGTCGCCTAACTTTTGATATCACTTTGCCATGGCTTTATTGAACTTGCACTCTAGTTTGCTACATTACGTCCCTTTTCCCCGAGTCTCCCTTGAGTAAGAGACTTTTGGTTTCAGTTTACTCTCTCACGTGGATTATAAGGTAATCCATCTGCCTGACTGTGCCTCGAGGAAGAATAGACTGATTAATTCCCTGCTCAGGATTTCAACTCACTCTTGTGAGTCAAGCGCTTAATCACGGCACCACCATCCCAGATTTATAAAGCCATCTCATTACTTCCCGATTCACCCAGGGGCAGCCAGTTCTGTACGTATGTTGAACGTCTTTCGCACCGTACGTAGCCACCCGTGGCAATCGGAGGTGCGGGGGGGGGGAAGGAATACAGGCACGCAAATTGAAACAATGTGAAAGTGTCTTCTTGGTTCTTTCGGTAAAGTCAAGTAGAAGGGAAATAATAAAATAATAAAAATAAAACATAATAAAATAATTCTCACGACGTTTCGGCCACAACGCAAGCAGCCGTCCTCAGGCGAAGACAGTGTCAGACGCTGTCTCCCCGACAGACCTGGTCTTCACCTGAGGACGGCTGCTTGCGTTGTGGCCGAAACGTCGTGAGAATTATTTTATTATGCTTTATTTTTATTATTTTATTATTTCCCTTCTACGTGACTTTACTGAAAGAACCAAGAAGATGAATCCCTGCAGTCACGAAAGCTTTAAATCGAAATGTGAAAGTTTCTTAAACAACCCGCCCCCAGACTCTGCCTGAGTATAAACGGGTTCACCACTGCTATTCAATTGCCAGGAGGCTGGTGGTGGGGTAAAGTGTTGAGCACTGTCATCGTTTCCAAGACGTCCGGCAAGCATGAAAGAGTAGGCCAAGTCACCCTCGAGGAGGGCTCTCGCGAACTCCCGCTAACGGAGGTCATTCCGCCGGTAGTGGACAGAGCAATGGAATTTCAGGGCTGCCGCCTTTGCCCAAAGTTTACCTCCTGCTCCATTACGAATGCCATTATATATAAAAAAAAATAACAATTCAAAACATGTTTTGAACGAATAAAAACTCCACGCGTCTATCTATATTTCCCGCTGAACAATCATGAGGCTCTTACCGAGCCTTGATTCCTGGTTACAAGCGTATTGCCTTGATTCCTGGTCACAAGCGTATCGCCTTCCCAGGCGTATAGACTCGGCTGCACTGGGTAAGGAAAACAATCGGGTTGTGAGGGCTGCATTAGCCGCTGAGATGCGGGTAGGAGCTCGGCTTCGGCTGTGTTGCCACTGCCAAATGCATTTCATCAGGATGCAGCAGTGGGTTTCTCACTCGCGCCACTATGAGGGGCATTAACTTAACGACACAGTGTGTGAGTGTGTGGGGTTTGTTCACCAATCTCACACGGGACTTGCTACCAACGCAGGTTGTCTCGCGTGACCTTGGTCTCACGTGACCTTGGTGACCTTGGTCTTTTATTTCTATTATTATTTCTATAATTTTTATAACATATTTTATTATTTATTTACTTTTTACCTACGTGACTTTACCGAAAAAAAACTAAGAGTATGAGACCTTGGTCTCGCGTGACCATGGTCTCGCGTGACCTTGATCTCACGTGACCTCTTAGTGACCTCTTGGTGACCTCTTCATTTTTCACCATCTATCCACGCAGGTTGTCATCCCGTCAGCCGGCGTGGGCTGCTCAAGTGAACGGCGTCTTGCGTGACCCCCCCCCCCCCCATGTGAGGAGGGCACACAGCGGCAAAGACACCGCCCCCAGTGCCGTCTATCGCTGTCCCCTCGACAAGCCTCTTAAGCCCTTTCTCTCTCTCGCTCGCTCTCTCTCCCACTTTCACGACGATTTTCAGCTGAAGCAGCTTCAAGATAGAAGATAGCCAAGTGAGCTTCTGAACACCTGCTACTCACAATGCAAAGGGACATAAAGGACCTTTTTTCACAATAAATCATTCACAGTCACACAGCCTCCCCAGCATCCACTCTCAGCAAAAGCTACAACAGAATACGGATTGTGAAGGAGACAAAAGGTCTCTCCTCTCTCTCTTTCTCTCCAGACACAGCAACTCCCTAGCACTGGCTCCCTCCTTTCTCACGTCCACCATCCAAACACGCCCCCTCCCTCCCTCCCTCTCTCCCTCCCTCCCGTCCAACTCGCTAATGCGGCAGGCCCCCTTACCGATCCCCAAGACAGCGTAAATTCCAAAACAGTTCGCGCTGATCCAAACGAACAATGCCGCTAAAAAGAGCCGCTCTCCAAGTTCGCAAATTGGCACCGGAGCAGATTTATACCTGCCGCTTTCAAAAGAACCGCTTTTGTTCTGCTTGTTCGCACAGAGAGAATGCCCGTTTGGATGTTGGAAGCCCGCTCGCCTGCCGCCGCTGCCGTGTTCGTATTTCAACGTGAAGAAATTTCAATGTTAACGTCTGAAGAGCCACCCGTCTGAAGGCTTCATAGCGAGCAATGCACAATGAGTGGCGTTTGGAGTCTGCGCCGAGCAATGGACGACATCTCCAAGGTTGCCTCGACCTAAAACGAGCAATTGAGTATCCGGTCGCAATGCATTAACACCGGCGCTGGAAATATCAAGTTAGCCAGGCGTGATACTGGCCCCAGAAGTCATTATCGATCAGGCTGAAATCATCAACTGACTCCAACTGAAAACCTGATTTAATAGCAAATGGCTGAAAGCCGGATTCAATCCCAGGGTGCGAGAGAGTCGGAGTGAAATTGTCTCCGTGTTCAAATTAGCCTCAGGCGGCGGCTCAAACGGCATCACCAGCCCTGGGTCAGAGAGGAACGTTTCACATCCCAACGGAGGCACCGATCTACGGGAGAGGCGCCGTTAATTTCACATGGAGCGGCACTTGATTTTTTGTTTTTAGAAACTTTGACAAAATGATGGGCCGAGTCAAACACCAACCGAGAACCTAGAGCAACCGTCTTCTGAGTTGTGCCCTTCCAGTTGTTGATCGCTCAAATGCATGACCAACAAGCCTCACCGATTTTGTCCCTTCTTTTTCTTGTCACGGGCCTCCTGCTCGCGACATTCGGCAGATTACTAATCAGGTTGTTCTCATCCGTGGGAGGTAACTGAATGACCATTAAAAATCGAACATCTTCCAGAAATAGAATATCCATGACCACGCAACACGAGGGTCGCATCACTGCCACGCCGGTGGTCGTGGCTGCGCTCTCCAATGTGATGTCGGGTTTGCGTGGCGTGCTGCTCAGCAAGACCTCCGATATTTCCCTCTACGTGCGGGCAGCTTCATTACGAACCGTAACTCTGCTTGGCAGGGCTGGCTACAGACGGTGCGGAAGAAATTCAACATACACACGTACGCATTACATCCAGCCAATAAATCAGAGCTGCGCTACCAAATTATCCAAACCTATCTTGAGTGTTGCTTGTGACACCTTCATCAGATGACCGTGGCTGTGAATGCCGTGACTGTAAAGTCGAGCGTGTGCAATAACCCTCACGATGGGAAGTTAACTTGGGTAGCAGGAGAAATTCCACACCACACGGGGGATATTTAACAGGTCGCGCTTATTACACACAAAGTGCTTGCCACAAATGAACCACGATACCTCGCTGATCCCATCAAGGAGCATAAACCGTCACGAGAACTCCGGTCACCCCCACAGCGGCTTTTGGCTGCTGGGCCATCGAACAAACGCGGTGGTCACCGCATCGCGCGGTGCTTTCACATACACTTCAGCGGCCGTCTGGAACGTTCTTCCTTCCGACATTAGGAAGCCACTGGAACTATGCACCATCAAATCATCTCGATTTAAAAAAAGAACTCATTTCTGAAGAATCGTCGTTTTGCGTTTGCGCCCGCTGCACCACGCAGCCACAGCCGTGGTCTCTCCCTCACCTGCAAGGCTGGAGCGAGGGTGCTCCTTGCGAGCGCATTGCTCCGAGTCCTGCGGCCCGGCCCTGCCCAGCGCTGCCAGGGCCACCAGGCACACGGCGAGCCTCGCCAGCAGGGAGGCCGCTGCATGCGCGAGCGACGGCGGTGGCGGCAGGGGCGGCCGGTAGTGGCCCAGGTGGGGCGGCCGGGATGGCGGCATCGTGCCCGGAGCGGTGGGCCGGCTGGCGCGGGAGGGGGGGCGCTGCAGGGTGTGTTGGGGGCTGTGGCAGCGGCAGTCACCCAGACGGCCGCATTGTAGACAACGGGAGCTACAGAAATGCACAGAAAGACAAGCCCTGTGAATTGTAGATTCATAGGCAAAGGCACGGTCGAGTTTGTTTCATTTATTTGACCGGGACATCTCAATCGGGGTACGAGTCAAAAAGTCAGAGTGCGACGGGAGCGGCAGTCAACTTCAAAAGCAGTCCTGTGCCGACGATGGAAGTTCCACATTTTCATGGCAGGCGCGAGCATATCCATATGTTGACCACTGTTAACTGCTTTTAAAGAATTTCTAAATGAATTTATCCTGCGAGGTTTGATGTGCTGAGTCAACTCCAGCGTGGTTGTGAACTTGCAAATGTCCCACCGAGCCTCAAAGGGTCTAACCAAGGCGCAACCTGGCTGTGAGTGTGTGCCAAGTCGTCTTCCCATTTGCAGAATGGATGTTGGTGAATGCAAAGTCGCAGTTGCACTGCACACATTGCTATGAATATCGCAGGACAAAAAAAAGCTGCTGACAAGGCAGCTTCAAATTTGATTCTGCGATAATGAGCTAGCATGCCGATACCGCTTACATTCATCATCACGGATAGAGTATTAAATTTCCAATCAATTACGAGCTCTAGTTATTCATAGAACATGCACATTGTTCACTTTGGTATGTCCTTTACAACCTCAATTTCGATGGGAATTGGGTCCCATATTTATTTGTGGCAATAAATTTGCAATCTCCCCTTTGCAATTACGTACAGTATAACGTTGAATACTATTTCCAAATGTTAGCAGGCATTGAATCAAATCTACATTATAAACTAAAGTTATGCCACTAAGGTATCGTAGTGAAATGATGAGTAAGAGTCACAAGGTGGCGAAATGTTAACTACCTCGCCTGGTATACAGGAGGTCGTGGGTTTGATCCCGACCCTGATGCCTGCTGCTTTATATTTATAGTTTGCGTGTTCTTCCCGTGGTCGTGTGAATTTTTCTCTGAGTCCTCCGCTTTTCCCTCCACATTCGAATCATGCGTTTAGAGTGTTTGGCTGCTAGACATTTCCACGTGATAAGCCACTCCGTTGAGCTTTCAATTGTGGCCAGGTCGCTGCTTAAATGGAGCTACATAGCTCAGTGGGCCTTTACCTGGTAAAATAAAAAATAGTAACAAAAAAAAATGGTCACAAGAAAAGGGAGGCTAAACAAGCTGTACAATGAAAAAGGAACTTGTGATCAATGGGGGACCTTGTGCCGTGTGGAGGATGCCAGGCCACCGAGGCAGCCATTGCAGTGGCACCCAGAGGTCAGTGACCGATGGAAGATCTGAAGTGAGATGGTGGAAAACTGTAAGAGCAGGTCTTGGAGGCTGGGTGTTACTCATGCAACAGCTGAGGTCTGGCCGAGGAAATGGAGCCATGCTGTGATGGCATTAACAGCATTGGTTCTGATTATAATCAGAGCCAACGCTGTTCATAATTATTTATTGATGATAAAACATACTAATATAAAGGCCTTGATTCAGAAAGAAGAAAACTTCATTGAGACTCAATACTTTTTGAGGAGGGTCCTGCATTTTTATACAAATTGGTAATAGTTTTATCCACCATAGAAAATAATAATACAAATAAAACAAGTTAACCCAGATCCAGAATTTGAACTTGCAAACGTCTATCTCGCAAACAGAAAGTCGTGAGTTCAAATCCTGGTTGGGGGGTTGACTCAACTCATTATCCCCTTGGGGTCAATAAAATGATTACCACTTTGTGGGAAAGTCAACAGTGGGTGTGCAATGGAGAGACTCACCCCCACATTAGGAATGTGGGATTTATATCACTGGCTCGGGGCTATAAGCAGGAGATGAGCATTGCCTCAATGTAGTAAACAAATAATTCAGACCTAATACTACGATACATGCCAGGGGCATTGCACCACAATTTCCATATTCTCACAATGTCCTCAAGCTTTCGTCACGATCTCTACGACGTATAGTCAATGCTAATACCGTGTTAATAAACCTCCTGCTCCCTTTCACTTGCTTTACCGGATTGACCTCCACTAATTTCGGAGCACAGCGTGTGCTTATGCTGTTAGTGTCTGACAGCATTTAGAAAATCACAATAATGGCACCAGTCAAAATTAAGTGAAATTCCACAGGAGCTCTGCCCCTCCCCCCAGACTTCCCTTGCATTGGTAACTGAATCATGTCTCTGTGTGCACAATCGTGGTTTTGACATAACTGGCGTCATATGCCACCACCCCAAGCTTGTTGCTTCATCATCACTGAGAAATACAGATGGACGGCGCTTCTTCTTGTTGTTGTTGGCAGAGTTCTCGACTCAAAGTCAGGGAGTTCGTGAGTTCAAATCCTGGTCAGGGGGGCAAAAATCATCACCGCATTGTGTATAGACAACATCCACTTTGCAGGGGAAGTCATCCAATGGAAACATTAGTCTCCGCATCAGAATGTTGAATTTCCACCAATGGCTGTCGGTTCTAGCAAGTTTTTTTTTTTTAAAGCTCTTCATCTTCTCGTTTTGAAGATAAAAAAACAAAACGTAAAAAATAATTATCACATCGAGTACATACCCTTCACACTAAATTAAAAGCTCAAAAGAATTCGAACGCGGGCATTTAGCAGCAACGATGTAAGTCTCACAAAACCCTACACTCAGCTGCTCGCCGGCTTAACGTGCGCGCATTTCAAGCGAAGCACTTCATAAAGTTCACACGGCCCGGGTAACAACAACGAAAAAGAGAGAACAAAAAAATCTGCTGCCCCTTGCATTTTTCACACCAAGAAGCTGATGATTTTTTTGGGTTCCAACTCCCACACCACTCCCCCCTCCCCACCCCTCTCATCCCCACCGCCTGCGAAAGGGAAAAAAAATTACCCATAAAAACAAAGTTTTTCACTATAAATCTTTTATATGCGTGGCGGCTAGAGTCCTCTCGTCCGCTGGCTTGAGATGGCTGCCACCTATGGGTCAGATGATTGCCTGCCACCATTAAGCAATTGGTAATTAAACATAATTTTTTTGTCCTAAAAAGTGTAAAATTTTGGGGAAAACGTTTCACGAAAATAAATTGTCACGCACAACGTGTCTGTGTGCAAAATGTCAGCTCGATTGTATCACGAGAAGTGGATTAAAAAACGACCGAATGATTTGCACGGTCGTAAGCGCGCAAGCAAGCAAGCAAGTGAACTTAATATAAAGGATTTAAAAACCCCAAAACCCGCCGTGGTTTGTCGTCGTTTACGTGGTGGCCGTGCGGAGCTGGGGCAGAGCCGTGCCGAGATTTGACGACCACGTTGCGAGCGGCCCCACTTGAAGCTCACGTCAGGATTGGCGAGTGAGTGAGAGCTGTCAAACCCCAGATTGACGACGATGACGATGATGACGATGATTGACGACGATGACGATGATGATGACGATGATAACGATGATGACGATGATGACGATGATTGACGACGATGACGATGATGACGATGATTGACGACGATGACGATGATGACGATGATTGACGACGATGACGATGATGATGATAACGATGATTGACGATGATGACGATGATGACGATGATTGACGACGATGATGATGACGATGATTGACGATGATGACGATGATGTTGCGTGCATTCTATCGCTGCGTCAAAGACATCTGCAGCCCCCAAAATTGAGATGTTCAAAATCATGCCGTTTTACTTCTACATATATATGTGGCCATAATTTAAGATGTAAACCCCATGTATCTGTAGCACTGCTTCTTGTTTCTTTGTGAGATTTAATTTTCATTGTTATCACAAAATTATGCCTTGTGCTGTACAGTAAGAGGGATGCTGTACAGTCTGTTTTACGCGCGCTATGATTTGATCAGTCTTATCTTGGCAAAACGGTGACACCGTCGTGTAACGAATGCCCTTTGTGGATGTTGGTACTGTTGGAAATACACATCCAATATATTTGACCGATTTCTGGAATACAAAAAAATACATGCCAAACTCAAATTCATGGGCTTTTTTTGTGTTTGTGTATGTATGTGTGTGTGCACAAACTAACTAGGCTGAGACCAACAACTCCCTCCATGTAAGTGTCCTATTTAACATAGGGATGGCAAGATACCTGTTATCAAACTCAAGCGCTGATAAGTCTTCTCACGTGACACAGCGTGAGCCCAAACAGCCACCTGGCCCTTTATACATTACACATTTCTTCGAAACTACCCCCACAGAGTTTGCTGAAAAAATGTGTATTTGTCAAACGGTGGGTCAGATAAACGCCGTATCGTTAACTCCAGTTGCTATTCATACGGAGCCATTCGTAATGGCCGAATTTACAAGCTGGACTACAAACTCCAATAACCGTTGCGCCTATTGTTTTATGAGCTATTGAGAGACGCGGCGCTTGATTGATGGCCCTATCTCTGACAGTTTTAAATAATGGTTTTTCATTTGGATGTTCATAAAGTCAACTCGTGCTCTCATATATCGCGGTACTTATTGGTGCAATAACCCTTTTAAGACCGTCGTTATGAAGACCAACCCGATTTTATTACGGGGGGGGGGGGCGATATTAAGTGAGATATTGAACATGATGAATATAGAGAGCATGACAATCACACTCGGTGACTTTTGATATCAATTTTAAGGTGTGCAATTTTAGGCCTGCATGAGAAAAGGTTGAGAAACTTAAGGCTTCCCCCCATCTCATGCGGGAGGATGGGTGTCTAAAATACGAATTGGAAATTAGTTTTTAAAGCTCATGAATTCTAAAACTCAGAGAGCGAGCAGAGCTCCCATGCCGCCTCTCAATCTGATTAAATGTATCAAGTTGTCAGTCATGTTCCTACAAAAATGTAGCTGTAGGACAATGAACGGAAGAAAAGCAGTTGAACACGTGGCAGACTTTCGTGACCAATATCATCCATAATAGAGTTTTTTTTGGGTTAGACCACGTAAATATATAAATGTGTCGTTAAACCCTCCACCACCCTTACTAGTTGGCTGTGCCGGGTGGTGGCGGGTTTTAACGACACATTTATATATTTACGCGATCTAA